ACACACTACACCACACACCCCACACCACACACACCACACCACACACACTACACCACACACACCACACCACACACACCACACCACCACACCAACACACACACTACACCACACACACTACACCACACACACCACACCACACACACTACACCACACACACTACACTACACCACTACACCACACACACTACACCACACACACTACACCACACAGACGACACAAAGCCGCTGCCTCGTCAACTCCTCAGAGCGAGAGACTCCTCGTCAACATCCCCAGCCTCTTATTGATCGTCGGCATCCCCACCGTCATCATCATCGTCATCATCATCGGCAGCAGCAGCAGCGGTGGCGTCTGGCGGTGTCTGTGGGGAAATCATCCAGGACACACGAGGTCATAAACGTGCGAACTGGTGTCTTCAAGGTGTGCTGCTGTGCCAGGCTAGGTGCATGAGGAAGAGGTCACAGGACAGACCTAGCAGGTGCCATGGGTTGACTGCTGTGCCAGGCTAGGTGCATGAGGAGGAGGTCACGGGACAGACCCTGCAGGTGCCATGGGTTGACTGCTGTGCCAGGCTAGGTGCATGAGGAGGAGGTCATGGGACAGACCCTGCAGGTGCCATGGGTTGACTGCTGTGCCAGGCTAGGTGCATGAAGAGGTCACGAGACAGACCTAGCAGGTGCCGTGGGTTGACTGCTGTACCAGGCTAGGTGCATGAGGAGGAGGTCATGGGACTGACCCTGCAGGTGCAATGGGTTGACTGCTGTGCCAGGCTAGGTGCATGAGGAGGATGTCACGGGACAGACCCAGCAGGTGCCATGGGTTGACTGCTGTGCCAGGCTAGGTGCATGAGGAGGAGGTCACGGGACAGACGCTGCAAGTGCCGTGGGTTGACTGCTGTGCCAGGCTAGGTGCATGAGGAGGAGGTCACGGGACAGACCCTGCAGGTGCCGTGGGTTGACTGCTGTGCCAGGCTAGGTGCATGAGGAGGAGGTCATGGGACAGACCCTGCAGGTGCCATGGGTTGACTGCTGTGCCAGGCTAGGTGCATGAGGAGGAGGTCACGGGACAGACGCTGCAAGTGCCGTGGGTTGACTGCTGTGCCAGGCTAGGTGCATGAGGAGGTGGTCACGGGACAGACCATGCAGGTGCCATGGGTTGTGCTGCTGTGCCAGGCTAGGTGCATGAGGAGGTCACGGGACAGACCCTGCAGGTGCCATGGGTTGACTGCTGTGCCAGGCTAGGTGCATGAGGAGGAGGTCACGGGACAGACCCTGCAGGTGCCATGGGTTGACTGCTGTGCCAGGCTAGGTGCATGAGGAGGAGGTCATGGGACTGACCCTGCAGGTGCCATGGGTTGACTGCTGTACCAGGCTAGGTGCATGAGGAGGTCACGGAACAGACCCAGCAGGTGCCATGGGTTGACTGCTGTGCCAGGCTAGGTGCATGAGGAGGAGGTCACGGGACAGACCCTGCAGGTGCCATGGGTTGACTGCTGTGCCAGGCTAGGTGCATGAGGAGGAGGTCATGGGACTGACCCTGCAGGTGCCATGGGTTGACTGCTGTGCCAGGCTAGGTGCATGAGGAGGAGGTCATGGGACTGACCCTGCAGGTGCCATGGGTTGACTGCTGTGCCAGGCTAGGTGCAGGAAGAGGTCACGAGACAGACCCTGCAGGTGCAATGGGTTGACTGCTGTGCCAGGCTAGGTGCATGAGGAGGAGGTCACGGGACAGACCCTGCAGGTGCCATGGGTTGTACTGCTGTGCCAGGCTAGGTGCAGGAGGAGGAGGTCACGGGACAGACCCTGCAGGTGCCATGGGTTTACTGCTGTGCCAGGCTAGGTGCATGAGGAGGAGGTCACGGGACAGACCTTGCAAGTGCCATGGATTTACTGCTGTGCCAGGCCGAAACGTCGTGAGAATTGTATTTTATTATGTTAAATTTTTATTATTTTATTATTTCCCTTCTACGTGACTTTACCGAAAGAACCAAGAAGATGTCTATACATTGTGTGCATTGTGCATGTACACAATATCCATACGTGTTGTATGCACTGTGTGTGTGCATTCTGTACATTAAGCATGTGCATCGTGCAAGCGTATTCTTCATTTACATTTCGTGTGTACACTATGCGTGCGTAGTGTCCGTGTACGTTGTGTGCACTACGCATGTACACAATGTGTATATATATATATAAAAGATGTATGCGCTGCGTGTGTGTGTAGTGTGTACATCACTCGCCTGCAGAGGGATCCTCGTTTCGCCGCTCCGATCGTCACTGAATGTGAAGGAACAAAAACAGCAGCGACACTCACCAACTCACTCATCACTCACCAACTCACTAACCAACTCACTCATCACTCACCAACTCACTCACCAACTCACTCATCACTCACCAACTCACTAACCAACTCACTCATCACTCACCAACTCACTCACCAACTCACCCATCACTCACCAACTCACTCACCAACTCACTCATCACTCATCACTCACCAACTCACTCACCAACTCACTCATCACTCACCAACTCACTCACCAACTCACTCATCACTCACCAACTCAACCATCACTCACCAACTCACTCACCACTCACCAACTCAACCATCACTCACCAACTCACCCATCGCTCACCACTCACTCATCACTCACCAACTCACTCACCACTCACCAACTCACTCACCAACTCACTCACCAACTCACTCACCAACTCACTCACTCACTCATCACTCATCACTCACCAACTCACTCATCACTCACCAACTCACCGCTCACCAACTCACTCACTCATCACTCACCAACTCACTCACCAACTCACTCATCACTCACCACTCACTCATCACTCACCAACTCACTCACTAACTCACTCACCGCTCACCAACTCACTCATCGCTCACCAACTCACCAACTCACTCACCAACTCACTCATCACTCACCAACTCACTCACCAACTCACTCATCACTCACCAACTCAACCATCACTCACCAACTCACTCACCACTCACCAACTCAACCATCACTCACCAACTCACCCATCGCTCACCACTCACTCATCACTCACCAACTCACTCACCACTCACCAACTCACTCACCAACTCACTCACCAACTCACTCACTCACTCATCACTCATCACTCACCAACTCACTCATCACTCACCAACTCACCGCTCACCAACTCACTCACTCACCACTCACCAACTCACTCACCAACTCACTCATCACTCACCACTCACTCATCACTCACCAACTCACTCACTAACTCACTCACCGCTCACCAACTCACTCATCGCTCACAACTCACTCACCAACTCACTCACCGCTCACCAACTCAACCATCACTCACCAACTCACTCATCACTCACCAACTCACTCATCACTCACCAACTCACTCACCAACTCACTCACCAACTCACTCACCAACTCACTCATCGCTCACCAACTCACTCACCCACTCACTCATCACTCACCACTCACCAACTCGCTCATGGATTCAATCCTAGACCCTGACGATGCCTGCTGCTGTTCATTTGGAGTCTGCGTCTCCATCCCTGTGGTGAGATGTTGACTACCTCGTCCGGTCTACAGGAGGTCGTGAATTCAGCACTGCCACCCATAGACTCAACACTGCCACCCATAGACTCAACACTGCCACCCATAGACTCAACACTGACACCCATAGACTCAACACTGTCAGAGACTCAACACCGCCACCCATAGATTAAACACTGCCACCCATAGACTCAACACTGCCACCCATAGACTCAACACTGCCACCCACAGACTCAACACTGAGACTCAACAATGTCACCCATAGACTCAACACTGCCACCCATAGACTCAACACTGCCACCTATAGACTCAACACTGAGACTCAACACTGCCACCCACAGACTCAACACTGCCACCCACAGACTCAACACTGAGACTCAACACTGACACCCATAGACTCAACACTGCCACCCATAGACTCAACACTGCCACCCATAGACTCAACACTGCCACCCATAGACTCAACACTGCCACCCACAGACTCAACACTGAGACTCAACAATGTCACCCATAGACTCAACACTGCCACCTATAGACTCAACACTGAGACTCAACACTGCCACCCACAGACTCAACACTGCCACCCACAGACTCAACACTGCCACCCACAGACTCAACACTGAGACTCAACACTGCCACCGACAGACTCAACACTGCCACCTATAGACTCAACACTGCCCATAGACTCAACACTGCACCATAGACTCAACACTGCCCATAGACTCAGCACTACCCATAGACTCAACACTGCACCGTAAACTCAACACTGCCCCCCATAGACTCAACACTGCCACCCATAGACTCAGCACTGTCACCCATAGACTCAACACTGCCACCCATAGACTCGGACTGGCAGCTAACGGGGGGGGGGAGGGAGCTGTGGAGATGGAGCAGTGTAATTGCTTTGGGTGAAGGATTACGGCTGGGACTACATGAAGCCTTCATCCAGCAGTGGATCACAAACACCCGCCCACTCACCCAGCGGAGCTTTGCGGCTGCGTTTCTTGACTCTCTCGCATTCTCCTGAAACGATGAACACAACAGGAGAAAATATACACAAACAACGGAATTATCATAATTGTTTTTTAACCTTCTATCTGGCAACAAAACTGACACCTTTTTTACTACAAGGAGTCATGTTTGCATAGACCACAATACCTGCAGCCATAATGCAAACAAAACACACAACTCTGATAATGTATGTGCACTGTCCTTGAAGTTTATTGGTCCACACCCGAGACAGCTTTCCTTAGAGCCTAGTCTCACATGGTGTTGGACCAGATGACGCCAAAAGCCGCACAACTCAAAGACAATGCACCATCAGAGTATGAGAGCTCGGGGTAAAAAAAAAAGGTGTCAGTTTTGTTGCCAGATAGAAGGGTAAAGAACCAATTATCATATTTTTTACTGGCAAATGAGGTTCCAATGGTGTAAACGGAATTACCGCCCGCGCGCATTCACGTTAATGTGGTCTTTGTTACTGAAATGTCTAGGAGATGTTGACTACCTCGCCTGGTATGCAGGAGGTCGTGGGTTCAAAACCGACCCTGATGCCTGCTGCTGTATATGTGGAGTCTGTGTTTCTACACTATACACTACACTATACACTACACTATACACTACACACTACACTACACACTATACTACACACTACACTACACACTACACTATACACTACACTACACACTACTACACTACACTATACACTACACTATACACTACACTATACTACTATACACTACACTATACACTACACTACACTACTATACACTACACTATACACTACACTACATTACTACACACTACACTATACACTACACTACACTATACACTACACTATACACTACACTATACACTACACTACACACTACACTATATACTACTACACTATACACTACTACACTACACTATACACTACACTATACTACTATACACTACACTATACACTACACTATACACTACACTACACTACTATACACTACACTATATACTACACTACATTACTACACACTACACTATACACTACACTACACTATACACTACACTATACACTACACACTACACTACACACTACACTATACACTACACTATATACTACTACACTATACACTACTACACTACACTATACACTACACTATACACTACACTATACACTACTACACTATACACTACACTATACACTACACTACACTATACACTACTACACTACTACACTACACTATACACTACTACACTACACTACACACTACACTATACACTATACACTACACTACTACACTACACTATACACTACACTATACACTACACTACGTCGCGTACGCCGCTCACTTGCAAACGAAGTACACAACGGCGGCGATGATGACGCCGGCCAGGGCAGCGACGATGCCGATGACGACGGCGATGACGACGGCGTTGACCCTCGAGCGATCCTCCTCTTCCCTCCCGCTGGGGGTCTCTGGACAGGAAACAAAACGGTAGAGGAGAGTTCGTGCCTTCGATCCTTCCTTGTTTGGTGTGCTCAGTCATTCGTCTGTTGATGTGTTCGTTCGCTTACTCATTCGTGCGTTCATTTGTTCATTCATTCGGTCGTGCGTTCATATCGTCATGGACTAACAGGCCAAACTTAGAAGTATTATTTGTTTCGATGTAAAGCTTCTTTCGTGACTGCAGGGATTCATCTTCTTGGTTCTTTTGGTAAAGTCATCACGTAGAAGGGAACTAATAAAGTAATGAAAATATAAATAATAATATAATATCATAATATAATAAAATAATATGCTCATGTAATATTATTTTATTTCGATTTAAAGCTTCTTTCGTGACTGCAGGGGTTCATCTTCTTGGTTCTTTCGGTAAAGTCACGTAGAAGGGACAGACCTGGTTTCACCTGAGGACGGCTGCTTGCGTTGTGGCCGAAACGTCGTGAGAATTGTATTTTAATTTTTATTATTTTATTACTTCCCTTCTACGTGGCGACTTTACCGAAAGAACCAAGAAGATGTATTATTTGGACGCGTACATTTCTACGGCCAATAAGTATATTATATTACGATGCACAATTGGTCAAATCTGTTGTCGTGAAGCCCTCCACCACGCCGACATCCCAGCCAATTGGATTAAATCGTCACACCCACTAGCGTTTTGATGCGCCGATAACGATGACCGTTTTGTGTATGATTTGCATCTGGAACGCGACCTGTTGTTCACAAATACGCCTCGACGTCAAAGAACGCAGCGATCAGCGAGACGCTGCGCTTGGCACCGCTCACGACGGCATTCACGTGATGACTATGCACTACACTTTATAATACTAAACACTACACTCTGCACTACACTATATACTACACTGCTATACTACATTGAAGACACATTACTTCAGAACTGTTTTTGTTTCAAGTTGTCCTTACCAACCAGTGGCATCTACATCTACAGATGTAGATGTAGATGCCACTGGTTCTTCACGTTCTACAGATGTAGATGCCATTGATTCTTCACGTTCTGCAGATGTAGATGCCATTGATTCTTCACGTTCTGTAGATGTAGATGTCACTGGTTCTTCACGTTCTGTAGATGTAGATGCCACTGGTTCTGCACGTTCTACAAATGTCGATGCCACTGGTTCTTCACGTTCTACAGATGTAGATGCCGCTGGTTCTTCGTGTTCTACAGATGTAGATGCCACTGGTTCTTCATGTTCTGTAGATGTAGATGCCACTGGTTCTTCACGTTCTGTAGATGTAGATGCCACTGGTTCTTCATGTTGTATAGATGTAGATGCCACTGGTTCTTCACGTTCTGTAGATGTAGATGCCACTGGTTCTTCACGTTCTGTAGATGTAGATGCCACTGGTTCTTCACGTTCTGTAGATGCCACTGGTTCTTCACGTTCTATAGATGTAGATGCCACTGGTTCTTCACGTTCTGTAGATGTAGATGCCACTGATTCTTCACGTTCTCACACACAGATGCCACTGGTTCTTCACGTTCTACAGATGTAGATGCCACTGGTTCTTCACGTTCTGAAGATGTAGATGCCACTGGTTCTTCACCTTCTGTAGATGTAGATGCCACTGCTTCCTCACGTTCTGCAGATGTAGATGCCACTGGTTCTTCACGTTCTGTAGATGTAGATGCCACTGATTCTTCACGTTCTGTAGATGCCACTGGTTCTTCACGTTCTGTAGATGTAGATGCCACTGGTTTTTCACGTTCTGTAGATGTAGATGCCACTGGTTCTTCACGTTCTGTAGATGTAGATTACACTGGTTCTTCACGTTCTGTAGATGTAGATGCCACTGGTTCTTCACGTTCTGTAGATGCCACTGGTTCTTCACGTTCTATAGATGTCGATGCCACTGGTTCTTCACGTTCTGTAGATGTAGATGCCACTGATTCTTCACGTTCTCACACACAGATGCCACTGGTTCTGTCAAATTTTGGGTGAGAACCTCCTTCCCTCAGCCAGGGCATTGAAAATGGGTCGTGGATGGGCATTCCAGCATGACAATGACCCAAAAAACATGGCCAAGTCAACAAAGGAGTGGCTCAAGAAGAAGCACATTAAGGTCCTGGAGTGGCCTAGCCAGTCTCCAGACCTTAATCCCACAGAAAATCTGTGGAGGGATCTGAAGGTTCGAGTTGCCAAACGTCAGCCTCGAAACCTTAATGACTTGGAGAAGATCTGCAAAGAGGAGTGGTGGGACAAAATCCCTCCTGAGATGTGTGCAAACCTGGTGGCCAACTACAAGAAACGTCTGACCTCTGTGATTGCCAACAAGGGTTTTGCCACCAAGTACTAAGTCATGTTTTGCAGAGGGGTCAAATACTTATTTACCTCATTAAAATGCAAATCAATTCATAACATTTTTGACATGCGTTTTTCTGGATTTTGTTGTTGTTATTCTGTCTCTCACTGTTCAAATAAACCTACCATTAAAATTATAGACTGACCATTTCTTTGTCAGTGGGCCAACGTACAAAATCAGCAGGTGATCAAATACTTTTTTCCCTCACTGTAGATGTCACTGGTTCTTCACGTTCTACAGATGTAGATGCCACTGGTTCTTCATGTTCTGCAGATGTAGATGCCACTGGTTCTTCATGTTCTGCAGATGTAGATGCCACTGATTCTTCATGTTCTACAAATGTAGATGCCACTGGTTCTTCACGTTCTACAGATGTAGATGCCAATGGTTCTTCATGTTCTGCAGATGTAGATGCCACTGATTCTTCATGTTCTGCAGATGTAGATGCCACTGGTTCTTCACGTTCTACAGATGTAGATGCCAATGGTTCCTCACATTCCACAGATGTAGATGCCACTGGTTCTTCACGTTCTGTAGATGTAGATGCCACTGGTTCTTCACGTTCTGTAGATGTAGATGCTACCGGTTCTTCACGTTCTACAGATGTAGATGCCACTGGTTCTTCACGTTCTACAGATGTAGATGCCAATGGTTCTTCACATTCCACAGATGTAGATGCCACTGGTTCTTCACGTTCTACAGATGTAGATGCCACTGGTCCTTCACGTTCTACAGATGTAGATGCCAATGGTTCTTCACATTCCACAGATGTAGCTGCCACTGGTTCTTCACGTTCTGTAGATGTAGATGCCACTGGTTCTTCACGTTCTGTAGATGTAGATGCCACCGATTCTTCACGTTCTACAGATGTAGATGCCACTGGTTCTTCACGTTCTACAGATGTAGATGCCGCTGGTTCTTCATGTTCTGCAGATGTAGATGCCACTGGTTCTTCATGTTCTACAGATGTCGATGCCACTGGTTCTTCACGTTCTGTAGATGTAGATGCCACTGGTTCTTCACGTTCTACAGATGTAGATGCCACTAGTACTTCACGTTCTGTAGATGTAGATGCCACTGGTTCTTCATGTTCTACAGATGTAGATGCCTCCACCGCCATCTATTGAACTTACAACTCTCTGTTCCGAACATACTGCAACTGAACATTACGGGGGAGAGAATTTGTTAGTATGTTTGAAAGATCGGAAGTTGAAATGTTCGTAAGTTGAAAATCCGTAAATCGAATGTTTGTAAGTAAAACATCCGTAAGTAGAATGTTCGTAAGTAGAAAGGTCATAAGTTGTTTGTTTGTTTGTAAGTTAAAAAATCCGTAAGTCGAATGTTTGTAAGTAGAGGAGTTAGTAGAATGTTTGCAAGTAAAAAATCCGTAAGTTGTATGTTTGTAAGTAAAAAATCCGTAAGTCGAATGTTTGTAAGTGGATGAGTTAGTAGAATGTTCGTCAGTAGAAAGTCTGTAAGTCGAATGTCCGTAAGTGGAGGATTCTAGATGTGAAGCTTTCGTGACTGCAAGGATTCATACTCTTCGGTTTTTTCGGTAAAGTCACGTAGATGAAAAATAAAAAAAATAAAAAATAAACAAACAAAAAATGAAAATAACTCAATTAAATCACGACGTTTCGGAGGCAACACAAGTCTCCGTCTTTAGTTGTGGGACCGTCACAGCCAGAATTACCGTACATTCATTGGCTTCCACATTCAGAAAATCCCCTCCCCCCTCCCCGTCCCCCTTAACTTGTATTTAAGAGCTCACCTCTTGGAATGTTGCCTTACTGGATACAGTAATTCTGGCTGTGACAGTCCCACAACTGATGACGGACACTTGTGTTGCCTCCGAAACGTCGCGATTTAGAATTTTTATTTGACTTCTATTATTTTTATTATTTATTACTTATTTATTTTACCTCCGTGACTTTTCCGCAGTCAGTGGCTCTGGATGAAGAGGAAAGACCCCAGCTGGGCCCCAAAGTGAGAGGGCCAGGAGGTATGCAGTCAACAATGCTTGACTCAGGGAGGAGGACGCCCCTGCCGTGCATAGCCCCATGGGATGTTGGCTACCAACAACAAGGCAACTCCTACGACTAATTGGGAATGGGACGCAAGCGTAGGATTGATCACCCTGTCGCTGGCCGCCTTTGGGGAGGGTGTATCGTGTGAAAGGCCGAAACACCTTGGGACCCAAAGGTTCAATACTGATGATGCGCTCCCCAAATGTCACCAGGCTCACTGTTCATGAACTCTTGGAAGTGCTTGCACAAAGGATAGTAACATCTCATCCTGTGTTCTTCGAATCAGAGTAGTAGAGGAGGAGTCTCTGTATATGAGGTGGGTGGGGGGGGGTCAGGTGGGTGTCCGATGGCCGCTCCGCTCACCGCTGCTGCCAGCGACCTCCAACTTCAGCAGGCCCCGTCCCTCGTTGTAGGCGGGCAGCAGGAGGACGTCACAGAGGTAGCTGCCCGTGTCGTTCTCCCGCACGTCTCTGCACGCGATGGAACACGGTGTAATGAAGGTCAAGAGACACTTCTGTCACCAATGTAATGAAGGTCGTGGAAGCAACTTCTGGAATCCGGTCTTTATTTGTCTTTCTTTACAACAATCCTTCACGCTGCTGACAGACAGACAGCGAGAGAGGGATAGAGAGAGAGAGACACGCGCGGCCACGTGGCAGCCTGGACCACGTGGCAGCCTGGACCACGTGGCAGCCTGGACCACGTGGCAGCCTGGACCACGTGGCAGCCTGGACCACGTGGGGCAGACTGGACCACGTGGCAGCCTGGACCACGTGGGGCAGCCTGGACCACGTGTGGCAGCCCGGACCACGTGGCAGCCCGGACCACGTGGCAGCCTGGACCACGTGGCAGCCTGGACCCCGCTCCCGCGTGGCCTCTCCCTCCGCTCGTTCCAGATCTGACCACGTGTCGTTCGTCTCCACCCCTATTTAATACCCGGGTCACGTGGTACCTTTCCACCAATCCTGGTTCGCCTCCATGGAATCTTCCAGACTCCATCGTAGGCTCCCGGGACCACGACCCTGACTCGTCTCCCCATTGGCTGTGGCCAAAGGTCAGAGTTTGCTTGATGTTGATTGGCTGTGGCTCTGCTATCATCCACTTAGTGGGCGGGAGCCAGGAAAGTGTCATCATCACTGAGCATGCGCATCATCCATCGTTAGTACACCCATTATAATAGGTGTAAATTTAGAAAAAATCTTCTTGGTTCTTTCGGTAAAGTCACGTAGAAGGGAAGTAATAAAATAATAAAAATAAAACATAATAAAATAATTCTCACGACGTTTCAGCCACAACGCAAACAGCCGTCCTCAGGTGGAGAACAGGTCTGTCGAGAAGACAGCGTCTGAATGAGCACCACCATGCTTGGCTATGGGTAGTGCTGAGTCTATGTGTAGTGCTGAGTCTGTGGGTGGCAGTGTTGAGTCTATGGGCAGTGTTGAGTCTATGGGCAGTGTTGAGTCTATGGGTAGTTTTATTTCGATTTAAAACTTTTCGTGACTGCAGGGATTCATCTTCTTGGTTCTTTCGGTAAAGTCATCACGTAGAAGGGAAGTAATAAAATAATAAAAATAAAACATAATAAAATACAATTCTCACGACGTTTCGGCCACAACGCAAGCAGCCGTCCTCAGGTGGAGAACAGGTCTGTCGGGGAGACAGCGTCTGAATGAAACACCACCAGGCTTGGCAGCGTATATTTAAGCTGCTGGGTTGGAAGGGGGAAGGGCGCCTTGACAAAATAATTTGCATATCAAGAGGAATTTAGCATATTTATGGGAAATGCAGGTATGGGATTAGTACTAGTTGCGAAATGCGTAAAAACAAATTTTTTTGTGGCTTTTGCAAATAGATCCGCGGAAAACGGTTTCATATTTTTCGGATCATTCGCGGCCATCCTGCCCATCATTGGCGTGGATAATTGAGTCTCCTGTCTATACATATTTGTATAGCGCGTACTACCGCTGTACCGCCCAACACGTTCATTAATTTCCTGGCCAACATTGCCGCCGTTGCCCAGCGAGTTGACACAGAGAGACAGAGAAGCGCCCTGCAAGGCCACCCACCTGAGCACGATGGACGCATTGCAGGTGCCCGTGTCGCCGATCCACTCGGCCCTCAGGTTGTAGAGATGCGTGGATCCGTCCATCACCAAAATCTTGCGCACATGGGGAACGCAACCCGGTTAGTTGAACGCGTGGCTAGTATTCATATTCTTAGGTTTTTTCAGTAAAGTCACGTAGTAAAATTAAAATAAAATAAAATCACGACATTTCAGAGGCAACACAAGCAGCTTCCGTCTTCAGGTGGAACCGTCACAGCACGACTGCTGTATCAAGTGAGAGAAATTCCAAGAAAACAGTCCTTGTATATATACTGGTTGAGGGTGGGGGAGCCAAGGTAGGCCCTGGATATTGTTTCTGTGAGGTTCGGTGCGGCTGAAGCACGCTGCTAGGAATGAGCCTTTGTTGCGTAGACTAGGTGCGGCTGATGTAAAGGTGCATGTAAAAGGGACTGAGCCTTTTTGTTATGTAGAGGTGGTGTGGCTGAAATCGCTGGCAGGAAATGAGTCTTTGTTGTGTAGAATGGTTGACTGAGCCTATTGCTATGTAGAGGTGGTGTGGCTGAAATCGCTGCCAGGAAATGAGTCTTTGTTGTGTAGAATGGTTGACTGAGCCTTTTGTTATGTAGAGGTGGTGCGGCTGAAATCGCTGCCAGGAAATGAGTCTTTGTTGTGTAGAATGGTTGACTGAGCCTTTTGTTATGTAGAGGTGGTGCGGCTGAAATCACTGCCAGGAAATGAGTTTTTGATGTGTAGAATGGTTGACTGAGCCTTTTTGTTATGTAGAGGTGATGCGGCTAAAATCGCTGCCAGGAAATGAGTCTTTGTTGTGTAGAATGGTTGACTGAGCCTATTGTTATGTAGAGGTGGTGCGGCTGAAATCACTGTCAGGAAATGAGTCTTTATTGTGTAGAATGGTTGACTGAGCCTATTGTTATGTAGAGGTGGTGCGGCTGAAATCGCTGCCAGGAAATTAGTCTTTGTTGTGTAGAATGGTTGACTGAGCCTATTGTTATATAGAGGTGGTGCGGCTGAAATCGCTGCCAGGAAATTAGTCTTTGTTGTGTAGAATGGTTGACTGAGCCTATTGTTATATAGAGGTGGTGCGGCTGAAATCGCTGCCAGGAAATGAGTCTTTGTTGTGTAGAATGGTTGACTGAGCCTATTGTTGTCGATGGGGTTTTTTTTTTAATGTCTGTTGGGTTCGATCACGTAAAATATATAAATGTTGCGTCGTTGCATCTCGCCGCTGCCACGGTGACGGGTTAGTCACGTGGACACAGAACGTGGTGCCAATCCGCTAGTGGAACAGCACTACACAGACGGGTGTACGCCGTATGGACCTGAAAACGCACCGTCGCTGTACAAGAATTCGGGCTAAACCTTGCGGGTTGACTGCTATGATGACAGCTTCAATGAAGCGAGTGCCACGGGTTAACTGCTGTGCGGTGACAACGCTGGATGCTGGATGGCAAGGGGCCGTTCCAGGGTACGGCAAAGGGTTGACAGCAGTAGAGGGGTGAGTAGGGGGTAGGTGAGGGGGTAGGGGAGGGGGTCACGGTAGAGGGGTGAGTAGGGGAGGTGGTAGGGGAGGGGCGAGGAGGAGTGGAGGGGCGACAGAGACGAGCCGAAGCTTTGCAGACGGTAGAATCACAGCGCTCGGTGTGGAAAACGGACGCCACCACCACAACCACCAGCGCCACCATTATCACCACCACCACCACAACCACCAGCGCCACCACCACCGTCACCATCAACGCCGCCACCATCACCAACACCACCAACAACAACAACAACCGCCATTCGCCACTAAGTGGCGGTGACGTCACCACGACGCTTGTGCCAGGCTAGGTGCACCTTGAGGCCACGTGAAGTGTCGAACGCCCGCTGGCAGGAGGTCACGGGGCAGACCCAGCAGGTGCCACGGGTCGACTGACCGAGATGACCGAGATGACTGGCTGATGCACCACCTGTGCCCCCTACTGTGCCAACTTGCTGTGCTTTAGCCACCCGGCGCTCCGCTTGTTGTTGTGAGCGTCGCTCCTCCGCCCTTCGTTGTTGTTGGAGGGCGACTGCCTCCAACTGCCCAGTAGCGTCCTTCACGAGCCTCCTCCACAGAGGCCGATCTTGACACCGCTGGTACCAGTTATCGACAAGTCCACTCAGCTCCACGTCCTCCTGTACCACGTCACTCCATCTCTTCTCTAGCCCGTGCCGCGCCCATTTAGCCCCCTCGATCTGGCCGAACATAAGCTGTTTAGGCATGCGGTGGCTGGGCATGCGGGCTACATGACCCAGCCAACGCAGCCTTGCCTGCCGGAGGAGCTCACCGATGGGACTTTGCCCAGATATTTCAAGGATTTGTGAGCTCCTCACACAATCCAGCCTGCAGGTTAAACCCAGGATGGATCGTAGGCAGGCCAGCCTAAATGTTTCCACCACCACCACCACCACCACCGCCGCTGTTGCCACCGCCGCCACCGCCACCACCGCCGCCACCATCACCTCTACCGCCACCAGCACCGCCATCACCGCCACTGCCACCACCACCACCACCCACCTTCTCGCTGGTGGGCACATGCATGCGCCACCACTCCACCACCACCGCCGTGTCCTGCACGTGGGTCGCTCCGCACGAGTAGGAGCACTCGAGGATGGCGGCGACCCCCGCCCGGACGGACACCGCGCCGGACGTGCGCACCCGCAGGTTGCCGTTCGAGGGCAGCGTGGGCGCTGCGATGTGGACAGAACACACGCGCACGCCAACACACGGACGCAGTGTTAACACTCATACGACGCGGGTAGGTCTGCGTATATTTAAGCTGGCTCCAAGCTTGGTGATGTTTCATTCTTCACCTCCTGAGGACGGCTGCTTGCGTTGTGGCCGAAACGTCGTGAGAATTATTTTATTATGTTTTATTTTTATTATTTTATTGCTTCCCTTCTACGTGACTTTACCGAAAGAACCAAGAATAATTATTTTATTATGTTTTATTTTGATTATTTTATTATTTCATTACTTCCCTTCTACGTGATGACTTTACCGAAAGAACCAAGAAGAAGACAAATCACACGTGTTGTTCCTACTTGTCTGTGTCTCCACTCCCGCCGGCACCATGACCAGCTCCACGCTGCTGCGCCCCTCTCTGTAGCGGAGCGGGTCGGTGACGTGGCACACGTAGGAGCCCACGTCAGACCGGTCGACATCCACGATGGCGATGGTGGCGTTGCAGCCGCCGAGGTCGCCACTCCACTCGACCCGCGGAGCGAGCGTCCGCGTTGGAGAGTCCTTCTGGGCGACCAGGATCTGTCGGATGCACAGCGGCGGAGTGTGCGTCAGAGGTCGCAACCGGGTACCCGATACCTGTACCCTACCCGATACCCGGCTACCCGTACCCGGCTGGGTACGGGTACGGGTAGGCCGTGAGTCACTGGTGAGTCACCGTTTGTCACTCATTTCAGGTAGGGTACGGGTACGGGTAGGCCGTGAGTCACTGGTGAGTCACCGTTTGTCACTCATTTCGGGTAGGGAACGGGTACCCATTTGCGGCCCTGGTGCGGCCGGGTACGAGGAGTAAGGAATCAAAACCCGTTTGCGACCTCTGGTGTGCGTTCAAGACGAGGGTCGTTAAGTTAACTTTCGTTCTTCCCTTCATATCACCGGTAACCATTCTGGGGGATGCGGATCTGTTGGATGCACGCAACGCACACGCAACGCACACGCAACGCACACGCAACGCGCACACGGCAACGCGCACACGGCAATGCGCACACGGCAACGCGCACACGCAACGCACACGCAATGAACTCAGAACTCGCAGGCAACGCACATGCAACGCACACACGCAGCGCACACGCAACGCACACGCAATGAACTCGGAACTCCCAGGCAACGCACATGCAACGGAAACCCTTTTGGACACGGCAGCATGGGACGGAGCGCTCCCTCGCAAACATTGGGGCCATTTGGGGGCGAGGAAATGCGCGACGCCCGGGAACCGACACGAACCTTTTCCTCGGTGGAATTTCTCAGCCGACTCCATTCCACGAGTGGCCGGGCGCCCGGCTCCCAGCCGCTGCTGCTGAAGCTGCAAGCCAGGACGGCTCGACCGCCGGGCGTGGCGAAGACTCTCCGCTCCGTGGTCACCGTGAGACCGGAGTCGCCCGCGGCGCCGGCGGCGTCGGCTGGGCGGATGAGAATCGCCGACCGAGTTGTTGCCGAAACGCTTACCGGGCCAGATTCAGCCTCGTCACTCGGAGACTCGAAGACTCACGCAGAGACCCGTAGACTCACACAGAGACCCAGAGACTCACACAGAGACCCATAGACTCACGCAGAGACCCAGAGACTCACGCAGAGACCCAGAGACTCGCACAGAGACCCGTAGACTCACACAGAGACCCGTAGACTCACGCAGAGACCCGTAGACTCACACATAGACCCATAGACTCACACAGAGACCCAGAGACTCACACAGAGACCCATAGACTCACACAGAGACCCATAGACTCACACAGAGACCCAGAGACTCACACAGAGACCCATAGACTCACATAGAGACACAGAGACTCACGCAGAGACCCATAGACTCACAGAGAGACCCATAGACTCACACAGAGACCCATATAATCACACAGAGACCAGTAGGACTCACACAGAGAACCATAGACCCACACAGAGACCCATAGACTCACACAGAGACCCATAGACTCACACAGAGACCCATAGACTCACCCAGAGACCCATAGACTCACACAGAGACACATAGACTCGTGCAGAGAACCGTAGACTCGTGCAGAGAACCATAGACTCGCACAGAGACCCAGAGACTCACGCAGATAACCATAGACTCACGCAGAGACCCGTAGACTCGCACAGAGAGACATAGACTCGCACAGAGAACCGTAGACTCGCACAGAGACCCAGAGACTCACACAGAGACCCAGAGACTCACACAGAGACCCGTAGACTCACACAGAGAGACGTAGACTCACGCAGAGACCCATAGACTCACACAGAGACCCATAGACTCACACAGAGACCCATAGACTCACGCAGACAACCATAGACTCACACAGAGACCCAGAGACTCACACAGAGACCCAGAGACTCACACAGAGACCCATAGACTCACACAGAGACCCATAGACTCACACAGAGACCCATAGACTCACGCAGAGACCCAGAGACTCACGCAGAGACCCATACACTCACCCAGAGACCCATAGACTCACACAGAGACACATAGACTCGTGCAGAGAACCGTAGACTCGTGCAGAGAACCATAGACTCGCACAGAGACCCAGAGACTCACACAGAGAGACAGACTCACGCAGAGACCCGTAGACTCGCACAGAGAGACATAGACTCGCACAGAGACCCAGAGACTCGCGCAGAGAGACGTAGACTCACACAGAGACCCGTAGACTCACACAGAGACCCATAGACTCACACAGAGACCCAGAGAATCACACAGAGACCCATAGACTCACACAGAGACCCAGAGAATCACACAGAGACCCATAGACTCACACAGAGACCCAGAGACTCACACAGAGACCCATAGACTCACACAGAGACCCAGAGACTCACACAGAGACCCATAGACTCACACAGAGACCCAGAGAATCACACAGAGACCCATAGACTCACACAGAGACCCAGAGACTCACACAGAGACCCATACTTTCACACAGAGACCCATAGACCCACAGAGACCCATACACTGGCACAGAGACCCATGACTCACCACACAAAGACCCACACTGAGACCCATAGATCATCACACAGAGACTCATAGACTCACCACACAAAGACCCGTAGACCCACACCGAGACACATAGACTTATTGGGACACTCCTAGACTCACACAGAGATCCATAAACTCATAGACTGACACGCACAGACCCATAGACTAACACACAAACAGAGACTCATAGACTGATACACACACAGTGGCACACACACAGAGACCTATAGGCTCACACACGCACAGACCCATAGACTCACACACACAGAGAGACCCATAGACTGACACACACAGACCCATAGACTAACACACAGAGACTCATAGACTGATACACACACAGAGACCCATAGAGTGGCACACACACAGAGACCTATAGACTCACACACGCACAGACCCATAGACTCACACGCACATAGACCCATAGACTCACACACACACAGACCCATAGACTGACACACACACAGACCCATAGACTAACACACACACAGACCCATAGAGTGGCAAACACACAGAGACCTATAGACTGACACACACAGACACATAGACTAACACACGCACAGACCCATAGACTCACGCACACACAGACCCATAGACTCACACACGCACATAGACCCATAGACTCACACATGCACAGACCCATAGACTCACACACAGAGACCCATAGACTCACACACGCACAGACCCATAGACTCACACACACAGACCCATAGACTCACACACACACAGAGACCCATAGACTCACACACACACAGAGACCCATAGACTCACACACACACAGAGACCCATAGACTGACACACACAGAGACCCATAGACTCACACACACACAGAGACCCATAGACTCACACACACACAGAGACCCATAGACTCACACACACAGAGACCCATAGACTCACACATGCACAGACCCATAGACTCACACACACACAGAGACCCATAGACTAACACACGCACAGACCCATAGATTGACGCACACAGAGACCCATAGACTCACACACACAGAGACCCATAGACTGATGCACACAGAGACCCATAGACTCACACGCACATAGACCCATAGACTCACACATGCACAGACCCATAGACTCACACACACACAGAGACCCATAGACTGACACACACACAGAGACCCATAGACTCACACACGCACAGACCCATAGACTGACACACACACACAGAGACCCATAGACTCACACACACACAGAGACCCATAGACTGACAAACACACAGAGACCCATAGACTCACACACACAGAGACCCATAGACTCACACACACGCACAGACCCATAGACTGACGCACACAGAGACCCATAGACTGACAAACACACAGAGACCCATAGACTCACACATGCACAGACCCATAGACTCACACATGCACAGACCCATAGACTCACACATGCACAGACCCATAGACTCTCACACACACAGAGACCCATAGACTAACACACGCACAGACCCATAGACTGACGCACACAGAGACCCATAGACGCACACACACAGAGACCTATAGACTCACACACACAGAGACCTATAGACTCACACACACAGAGACCCATAGACTCACACACACAGAGACCCATAGACTGATGCACACAGAGACCCATAGACTCACACGCACATAGACCCATAGACTCACACATGCACAGACCCATAGACTCACACACACACAGAGACCCATAGACTGACACACACACAGAGACCCATAGACTCACACACACAGAGACCCATAGACTGATGCACACAGAGACCCATAGACTCACACGCACATAGACCCATAGACTCACACATGCACAGACCCATAGACTCACACACAGAGACCCATAGACTGACACACACACAGAGACCCATAGACTCACACACACACAGAGACCCATAGACTGACACACACACAGAGACCCATAGACTCACACACACAGAGACCCATAGACTCACACACAGACCCATAGACTGACACGCACATAGACCCATAGACTCACACATGCACAGACCCATAGACTCACACACACACAGAGACCCATAGACTGACACACACACAGAGACCCATAGACTGACACACACACAGAGACCCATAGACTCACACACACACAGACCCATAGAGTGGCAAACACACAGAGACCTATAGACTGACACACACAGAGACCCAAAGACTGCACACGCACAGACCCATAGACTGACGCACACACAGACCCAAAGAGACCCGGTAGACACACACACATAGACCCACTGACTTATACACACAGAGACCCATAGACACACATACTCATTGACTCACACACACAGACCCCGACACTCACACACACAGAGACCCATAGACTGACACAAACACACAGAGACCCATAGACTGACACACACACAGACCCATAGACTGACGCACACACACAGAGGCTGCAACTCTCATACCTGCAAGGGACACCAATAGCAGCAGCAGCATCATCATCAGCAGGCAGGAGCAGGAGGCCATCCCAGAGTGAAACCAGAGGAGCTCCACGACTCTGCCTGGGCAGAGGAATTCCCGATTCCATCGCTCACTCAGCACTCAGCACGTTAGACAATGACAGAAGTCACCCTGTGTATACCACCCATAGACTCAACACTGTCACCCATAGACTCAACACTGCACCATATACTCAATACTGAACCATAGACTCAGCACTGCCACCTATAGATTGAATACTGCCACCCATAGACTCAACACTCCACCACCCACCAACCCGCCTACTCACACCACCATAGACTCAACATTGCCACCCATAGACTCAACACTGCACCATATACTCAATACTGAACCATAGACTCAGCACTGCCACCTATAGACTCAACACTGCACAATAGACTCAACACTGCCACCTATAGATTGAATACTGCCACCCATAGACTCAACACTCCACCACCCACCATCCCGCCTACTCACACCACCATAGACTCAACATTGCCACCCATAGACTCAACACTACACCATATACTCAATACTGCCACCCAAAGACTCAACACTGCCACCCATAGACTCAACATTCCACCATAGACTCAACACGGCACCATAGACTCAACACTGCACCCATAGACTCAACACTGCACCCATAGACTCAACACTGCACCCATAGACTCAACATTCCACCATAGACTCAACACGGCACCATAGACTTAACACGGCACCATAGACTCAACACTGCACCCATAGACTCAACACTGCACCCATAGACTCAACACTGCACCCATAGACTCAACACTGCACCCATAGACTCAACACTGCACCCATAGACTCAACACTGCACCATAGACTCAACACTGCCCCATAGACTCACCACTGCACTATGGACTCAACACTGCCACCTATAGACTGAACACTGCCATAGAGACTCAACACTCCACCACCGACCCACCCGCCTACTCACTCCACCATAGACTCAACACTGCCATAGACTCAACACTCCACCACAGACTAAACACTGCACAACAGACTCAACACTGCACCATAGACTCAACACTGCACCATAGACTCAAGACTACCCGTAGACTCAAGACTACCCGTAGACACAACATTGCCCATAGACTGAACACTACCCATAGACACAACACTGCCATAGACTCAACACTACCATAGACTCAACACTGCACCATAGACTCAACACTGCCCATAGACTTAACACTGCCCATAGACTCAACACTGCCCATAGACTCAACACTGCTCATAGCTCAACACTGCCCATAGACTCAACACTGCCCATAGACTCAGCACTGCCCATAGACTCAACACTGCACCATAGACTCAACACTGCCCATAGACTCAACACTGCCCATAAACTCAACATCGCCATAGACTCAACATCGCCATAGACTCAACACTGCCCATAGACTCAACACTGCCCATAGACTCAACACTGCCCATAGACTCAACACTGCACAATAGACTCAACACTACCCATAGACTCAACACTGCCCATAGACTCAACACTGCCCATCGACTCAACACTGCCCATAGACTCAACAATGCCCATAGACTCAACACTACCCATAGACTCAACACTGCCCATAGACTCAACACTGCCCATCGACTCAACACTGCCCATAGACTCAACAATGCCCATAGACTCAACACTACCCATAGACTCAACACTGCCCATAGACTCAACACTGCCCATAGACTCAACAATGCCCATAGACTCAACACTGCACCATAGACTCAACACTGCACATAGACTCAACAATGCCCATAGACTCAACACTACCCATAGACTCAACACTGCACCATAGACTCAACACTGCCCATAGACTCACACTGCCATGATGATGATCATCTGCTACACCACGACTGCTCCTCCTACCTACGAAGTGGAACTGGCGTCGCAAAAGTCGTCGCAGGATCAGGAAGAACAAGAAGAAAAAACAAGTATAACCCGTAAAAACAAAGTTGTTCACTATAAATCCTTTATATGCGTGGCGGCTAGAGTCCTCTCGTCCTCTGGCTTGAGATGGCTGCCACCTATGGGTCAGATGATTGCATGGCAGCATTAAGCAATTGGTAATTAAATATTTAATTTGTTTTCCCTAAAAAGTGTAAAATTTTGGAAAAAAAATGTTCACGAACATTAATTGTCTCGCACAACGAGTCTGTGTGGAAAATATCAGCTCGATTGGATCACGGGAAGTGGGTTAAAAAACGACCGAAAGATTTGCACGGTCGTAAGCAAGCAAGCGAACTTAATATAAAGGATTTAAATAAAAAAATTTCCACTTGAACAATGCCCATCCTCCACAAAAAACTATTGGTGCTAAACAAGAACAGAAACTGTGAACCTGCCCCACCCGTTCTGAGCAACACACACCCACTCACCCCCCATCCTCAGCTACGCACACACTCACTCACCCACTCATTCAATCACCCAGCCACTCACCCATTCACTCACCAACCCACTCACCCCCATCATCAGCTACGCACCTACTCATTAATTCACTCACCCACTCACCCAGTCGCTCACCCAGCCACTCACCTACTCACCCATCTACTCATTCACTCACCCACCCACCCATTCAGCCACCCACCCACCCAGCCACCTACCCACTCAGCCACCAACTCACCCACTCACCCACTGAATCACCCACTTACCCACTTAGCCACCCACCCAGCCACCCACCGCCATTCGCCACTAAGTGGCACAGACACACACTCACAGACACACACTCACAGACACACACTCACAGACACACACAACACACTCACAGACACACACTCACAGACACACACTCACAGACACACACACAGACACACACACAGACACACACAGACACACACACACAGACACACACATACAGACACACACTCACAGACACACACTCACAGACACACACTCACAGACACACACTCACAGACACACACTCACAGACACTCACAGACACACACAGACACACACTCACAGACACACACTCACAGACACACACTCACAGACACACACAGAGACACACACTCACAGACACACACAGAGACACACACTCACAGACACACACTCACAGACACACACTCACAGACACACACACAGACACACACACAGACACACACACAGACACACACACACAGACACACACACAGACACACACACAGACACACACAGACACACACACACAGACACACACAGACACACACATACAGACACACACTCACAGACACTCACTCACAGACACTCACTCACAGACACTCACTCATAGACACACACTCACAGACACTCACAGACACACACAGACACACACTCACAGACACACACTCACAGACACACACTCACAGACACACACAGAGACACACACTCACAGACACACACAGAGACACACACTCACAGACACACACACAGACACACACTCACAGACACACACACACAGACACACACTCACAGACACACACAGAGACACACACTCACAGACACACACAGAGACACACACTCACAGACACACACACAGACACACACACACAGACACACAGACACACACACAGACACAGACACACACAGACACACACACACTCACAGACACACACTCACAGACACACACACACAGACACACACTCACAGACACACTCACACACACAGAAACACACACACAGACACACACACACAGACACACACACACAGATACACACAGACATGCACACACAGACACACAGAGACACAGACACACACAGACACACACACACAGACACACACAGACACACACACACAGACACACACACAGACATACACACACACACAGACATACCCACACAGGCGCCCGCACGCCTCACCTGCTCTGCTCGTGTGGGTTGTTGTGTTCAAAGGTCAAAGACAGCGCGACGTGAACCCGCCCACTCACGCAAGCGACACACACAGACAAACACACACACAGACACACACACACAGACACACACACAGGCACACACACAGACACATACACACAGACACACACACAGACACACACACACACACAGACACACACACAGACACACACACACAGATTTAGACACACACAGACACACACAGATTTAGACACACACACAGACACACACACAGACACACACACAGACACACACACACACACAGACACACACACACACAGACACACACACACAGACACACACACACAGACACACACACACACAGACACACACACACAGACACACACAGACAAACACACACACAGACACACACACACAGACACACACACAGGCACACACACAGACACATACACACAGACACACACACACACACAGACACACACACAGACACACACACACAGACACACATAGACACACACACATAGACACACACACAGACACACACACAGACACACACACAGACACACACACACACACAGACACACACACACACAGACACACACACACAGACACACACACACACAGACACACACACACACAGACACACACACACAGACACACACACACAGACACACACACAGACACACACACAGACACACAGACACACACACACACAGACACACACACACACACTACACACACTACACACACTACACACACTCACAGACACACTCACACAGACAAACACTCACAGATACACACACACAGACACACACACACACAGACACAGTCACACACACAGACACACACACAGACACACACACAGACACACAGACACACACACACAGACACACAGACACACATACAGACACACACAGACACACACACACGACACACACTACACACACACAGAGACACACAGACATACATATACACACACTCATACACACAGACACACACACTACACACACTCACACACACAGACACACTCACACACAGACACACATACAGACACACACAGACACACACACACGACACACACTACACACACACACAGACACACAGACATACATATACACACACTCACACACACAGACACACTCACACACACGACAAACACTACACACAGACACAGACAGACACTCACAGACACACACACACCATACACACACAGACACACAGACACACACACACTCACAGACACACACACACCATACACACACCATACACACACTACACACACACTCACAGACACACACACAGACACACACTCACAGACACACTCACACAGACACACACTCACAGACACACTCACACAGACACATACACACACAGACACACTACACACAGACACACACACACACAGACACACACACATACACACACACAGACACACACAGACACATACACTCACAGACACACTCACACAGACACACTCACACAGACACTCACACTACACACACTACACTACACACACTACACACATACACACACACATTACACACACCACACATTACACACACACACTACACACATTACACACACACCACACATTACACACACTACACATACACACTACACACACACCACACATCACACACACACTACACACAAACAATACACACACACACTACACATACACACTACACACACCACATTACACACACACACTACACACATTACACACACACACTACACGCATCACACACACCACACACATTACTCACACACTACACATATTACACACTGCACACACACTACACACACACACTGCACACATTACACACTGCACACACACCCTACACACACACTGCACACACACACACACGACACACACACACTACACACACTACACACACACACTGCACACACACACTGCACACACACACTGCACACACACACACTGCACACACACACTGCACACACACACACTGCACACACACCCTACACACACACACTGCACACACACTACTGGTTCAACCCACCCGCGTCTGCAACATGGCTTCATCCCAGAGGTCGCAATCGGGGTACCCGTACCCTACCCTACACCCGGCCGGGTGCGGGTAGCCGGGTATCGGGTAGGGTACCCGTCTGTGACCCTGGCGCGGCCGGGTACGGGTAGCCGGGTAAGGAATCAAAACCCGTTTGCGAGCTCTGGGGAGCAGACAAACCGGTCAGAAAAACTAGATTTGAATAATAAATAAATAAATATTATCCTCCACCTATTTTGCGATCAACATCGTGCAGTGAGTTAAAGCGGAATTTGTAAAGAATATTGTGTAGGAGGAAAAGTAAACTAAACTATCTTCATTTTCCCAGATATCTAAGGCCCACTACAGACCCACAGATACCCACAGAGACCCATAGAGACCCACAGAGACCCACAGAGACTCATAGATACCCACAGAGACTCATAGGGACCCACAGAGACTCATAGAGACCCACAGAGACCCATAGAGACCCATACTCATAGAGACCCACAGAGACCCACAGAGACCCATACTCATAGAGACCCACAGAGACCCATAGAGACCCATACTGATAGAGACCCACAGAGACCCATAGAGACCCACAGAGACCCACAGAGACACATACAGACCCATACTCATAGAGACCCACAGAGACCCATACTCATGCAGACCCACAGAGACCCATAGAAACCCATATTCATAGAGACCCACAGAGACCCACAGAGACCCATACTCATAGAGACCCACAGAGACCCACAGAGACCCACAGATACCCACAGAGACCCATACTCATAGAGACCCACAGAGACCCACAGAGACCCACAGAGACACATACTCATAGAGACCCACAGAGACCCATACTCATAGAGACCCACAGAGACACATACTCATAGAGACCCACAGAGACCCATACTCATGCAGACCCACAGAGACCCATAGAGACACACAGAGACCCACAGAGACCCACAGAGACCCACAGATACCCACAGAGACCCATACTCATAGAGACCCACAGAGACACATACTCATAGAGACCCACAGAGACCCACAGAGACCCATACTCATAGAGACCCACAGAGACACATAGAGACCCATACTCATAGAGACCCACAGAGACCCATAGAGACCCATACTCATAGAGACCCACAGAGACCCATAGAGACCCATACTCATAGAGACCCACAGAGACCCATAGAGACCCACAAAGACCCATACTCATAGAGACCCACAGAGACCCATAGAGACCCATAGAAACCCACAGAGACCCATAGAGACCCATACTCATAGAGACCCACAGAGACCCATAGAGACCCATAGATACCCACAGAGACCCATAGAGACCCATACTCATAGAGACCCACAGAGACACATACTAAAACTAAACTCAGATTGTAAATGTCGTGGATTGGCTCTCCAACACATCGGTGTGACTGTACTAGTATACTACACTATATACACTACTACACTATACACTACACTATACACTACTACACTACACTATACACTACTATACACTACACTATACACTACACTATACACTACTACACTATACTATACACTACACTATACACTACACTATACACTACTACACTACACTATACACTACTATACACTACACTATACACTACACTATACACTACACTATACACTACTACACTACACACTACACACTACACTATACACTACACTACACACTACACTACACACTACACTACACACTACACTACACACTACACTATACACTACACTACACACTACACTATACACTACTATACACTACACTACACACTACACTACACACTACACTATACACTACACTATACACTAGTGCTGTACTAGTATACTACACTATGCACTCCACTCCACACTACACTATACACTACACACTAGTGCTGTACTAGTACACTACACTATACACTACACTATACACTACTACACTATACACTACACTTTACACTACACTATACACTACATACTATACACTACTACACTATACACTACACTATACACTACACACTACTATACACTACACTATACACTATACACTACACTATACACTACACTACACTATACACTACACACTAGTGCTGTACTAGTATACTACACTATACACTACACTATACACTACACTATACACTACTACGCTACACTATACACTACACTACACACTACACTATACACTACACACTACACTACACACTACACTACACACTACACACTAGTGCTGTACTAGTATACTACACTATACACTACACTATACACTACACTATACACTACACACTACACTACACACTACACTACACTATACACTACACACTACACTACTACACTACACTATACACTACTACACTACACTATACACTACACTATACACTACACTATACACTACTATACACTACACTACTACACTACACTATACACTACACACTACACTACTACACTACACTACTACACTACACTATACACTACACTACACACTCCACTATACACTACACACTACACTACACACTACACTATACACTACACACTACACTATACACTACACTATACACTATACACTACACACTACACTATACACTACACACTACACTATACACTACACACTACACTATACACTACACTATACACTACACTCCACACTACACTCTATACACTACACACTATACACTACACACTATACACTACACTATACACAACTACACTATACACTACACTATACACTACACTATACACTACACTATACACTACACTATTCACCACACACTACACTATACACTACACTATACACTACACTACACACTACACTATACACTACTACACTATACATTACACACTACTACACTATACACTACACTACACACTACACTATACACTACACACTACTACACTATACATTACACACTACACTATACACTACACACTACTACACTATACACTATACACTACACTATACACTACACACTACACACTACACTATACACTACACTATACACTATACACTACACTACA